CACCTTTTAAAAACTCTGGTTATTTATTTGTATGGCCGCCCAACTCACTCTCAGTGACTCCTGGTGGCTTACGAAAGATAAAAAAACAATATAAAAACAATAAAAAGTAATATTCCCCCAACCCCCTAGCAATAACAACAACAACCAACCAACCAACCAACCAACCAACCAATCAAGCCACTTGATGGCTTCCATCCCACTTTCGGGTCCCCAGGCTCACTGGCAAAAGGTCTTCAGGGCCATGGAAAAAGTGTCAAAATGGGGGCTAATCTTATCTCCACAGGGATGACGTTCCACAGGAAGGGAGCCACCACAGAGAAGGCCCTTTTTTTAGCCCTTCTAGGAAGACCTGCTTAGGAGAGGGAACCTGTAGCATTCCCTGCCTCCCCACTCTCTGGTGGGTTGGGTAGATGTGATCACAAAAAGAGAGTCTCTTCAAATAACCTGGACCCAAGCCACGTAGGGCTTAAAGGTAGCAACCAGCACTCTGAATTGGACTCGGAAATAAACTGGTCGCCAATGAAGCCCCACACATATGCACACTGAGATGACACATATGCATACGGAGGCTTGCACAAAACTATGCAGGCCGCTGCATTTTGAACCAATTGAAGCTTCCACTTATGCTTTTCTGGATCATAATCCTGTTTCTTTCATTTGAATGTACATAATTTGCTTTGGAAATCTTTCCAAATAATGATTGGGGTATACACACTTTAAAATGCAAATAATTCTCAGCAAGTATCCTCTAGAGTAATCTCGTAAATCATATTCTGAGTTAGTACCATAGTATCACATAGATTTTTCATTAATGTCAGAGTATACAACACTCTAAATGAACGTGAGGAATTTTATGAATGTGTGGAAACAGATCTCAATGGCACTGAATAATCTAATAACAGAAGCCTCCCTCTAGAAAAAGAAATAGGACGCATAGGAATTAAAATATTGGTTAAAAATGTACGTTAACACCTGAATCCTGCAAAAGAAAGTCGTAGTATATACTTCAAATGCTCTGAAGCATTCCTTCCAAGCATACTCCCACATTTCAAGTGTCAGTCTGAATGTTATTTTTTAAAACATACTTGCGCATAAAATTTGGGATGCAGGGAATTTAAAAAGGAAGGGTTTTTCCTTAAAATTGCTTTTTTTTAAAAAATGGAAACATTGGCATTTTGGATTTTCTCCAAACATGCTGACATCTCCCTCATTTTAGTTTTACTTAAAACCGTGGTAATGGTAACTGAATTCTCCGTTAAACCTAAATTACATCCAATATTTTACTATGGTCTCAAAACAAAGCTATGGTTTGCTAGTTTCATCTTGCATACTACTTCCACTATTGAATTCTATTTCCCTTAAACTGAAGAGGATGTAGGGATTCACCATAATAAACTCATCTATTTTTATCCAAAATCGTTACCGGACTAAAAGTTTTAAGTTCCTTTCCCAACAGATGTTATTTTCAGGACTGTTCTCATTATTCTACTTTTTCAGATACAGATTTTAGTTTTACTACTAAATAAGCGAGTTGCTAGAAAAATCTCATTCATAAGAAGCACTATCTGGATTATACATTACAATATGTTTCTGAATAAAATAACATTAATTCTAATAACTGCATCTTTAATTGTGAAAAGGCTGAGAGTCCATGATACACTACATTGAAATAAGAACAGATATGCTCCAAAAATACTGTAATAGTACATTAACTTTCAGTGCATTAACTTTAGACAATACTCAAAAGCCAGGATCAACCCATCAGATGATACTAAAATAATATTGGTCATTTTTTCTGCTTATGTTTTTTATACTTGCTTTCATAATGATATATAAAAGTATCAACTTGTAAAAAAAAGAATTATCACTTATTCTATTTTTCTCCTCTCTTTCTTTGGTATAATGCAAACCACATGGACAGCAAATGAAGACAACATCACAAAGTGTAGAATGTTGCACCTAAAATTGTAACAGGTACAATTGTATTATAGAGCCTAAAACAGTTGCTCTGACCATCTCTATGCTTCCAAGCCAAGTACATGGTGGTTTTCTTTAAATATTTAATTTGGTAGCAAGTTACTTATATACAAGTTCTTTTTTTTCCAATCGGAAGATCTTTCATCTGAAGATTGACTGGGTTCTCCAAATATCTAGTACATTGCAGATGGTCCTTGAGTTATGACTAAAATAAGCCTGGCCATTTACGGTCATAAGTTGTTATTGTCATAAAACCATTTTCTGATTTTTGTGGTGATCATTTTGGCAAAAGTGTCATACAATGCGATCACATGACTGTAGGATACTGCAAACCACCATAAAGGCAGCTGTGTTGTCAGGCACTGGTCACATGAATGTATGGGGAGCCCAACCACTGGAATTTTGGATCCGGTCCCTAAGTCCCCTTTTCTCAGGTAGGTCATAACTTCTAACAGTTGCAAAGCAAAGAGTCGTAAATTGAGGACTAAATGTATGAGACGTGCAATTGCTTGTTTTGATGTTTCAGTTGTGGAATGCCTCTCCAGGGAGATACCCTTTTCAGGTCTATCAAAATATATTTTTTATTTATAATTTTTGTATAATTATAAAGTCTATATTATAAACTGAATTATAATATTTAATATTTACATATAATTTGGATAGATCTAAGCTTAGATATAAAGAATAAACAAATTATAACAAGCACAGCAACCAGCATTAGAATCGAAATGAAGACACCGAGGTGAAGATAAGTTCTTCCTCGATGATCAACTATCAACAGGAGATGGATGGATGGATGAATGGGTGATAGATAGATAGAGACCACAGGTGTCAAACTTGCTGTGACCTATTACCATCACGTGATGTTTCATGACATTTTCCCTATTTGCGGAACTGGAGTGGGCGTGGCCTACACGTGACGCATCCGGACTGCGGGCCGCCAGTTTTGACACCCCTGATATAGACATATAGTCTGGAGAAGTAGCAAAAAGCAAGATATGGGTGTTTTTTAATATACCCATTATAAAATGGGTGAGCCCCTATCACATAGCTGCAACACCTTTTTGACCCCTCTATTAAAGCTTATTTTTAAATTTTTATACAGTGTTTTTTATTGCTTGTAAGCTGAGCAAGTAAAAAATATTAATTTTCTAAATAAATAAATAAATAAATAAATGCAGCTATATACAAATAGGTGCTTATTATTAACCTCCATTAACCCACTGAGAATGAAGATCTCTTATCTAAAGGTTATGGTATGTAATCTACTATTCTGGTCCAGCAAAATGTAGTAGATTTTTTTTTAAAAAAAATTCACAAGCCAGGCCTGGGAGCATGACTGAATTAATCACCCAATGAACTTCTGTAAATGTGGGGCAGATACAGTCAAAAGAAATCTCCCATTGTAGGCAGACAAGAGCAAGACATCTCTGCTTCTAGGTTTTCTGCTTCAGTACCAGTTTTGGGCAAAACCACGATTTTTTTCCTTGATAGAAAAAGCATCTATGAAAGAAACTTTCATCCATTTTTGGGATGGCTGAGAATTGGCTACGACAACTCCTTCTCTGGCACTAAACTCTCCGAAATCCACCTAGAATAAGTGGGTACAGCAAACATAGTGACTATATAGCCTTTATTATAAATGTCCTTTATTATAAAGGACAACCCTTTATTTCAGAATTCAGAATTCAGAACAACCGCCTTTCATATTTTTTAAAAAAATATTTTAAAAAATATGCTCCTGAACTTTCCTTTCTAAAGCAAAATTATAAACAATTATATGTGTGTGTGTGTATGTGTGTGTGTGTGTATATATATATACACACACACACACGCATATATATATTACCCTTATGAACCACTTTCAGATTTCCCCTTTTCTCAGACTTCTCCTTTATTTTTTTTTCCAAGAAAACACGGTCGCTCTAGAAAATACGGTCATTGTATGTTAATTACGTTTTCTGTAAATCAAGCGACTGCAGCAAGTTCAATCACGTGACCTTCCCCACGTGCTCGCAAAGCAGACGAGCTGGGAACTTTCAGAATGACCAGATGGGAAGATTTCCTTTCGAGTACAAAAGAAAAATGTTGACCACCGTCCCGCGCCTGCGCGGTTTTCTTCCCCTCTCTCGGCCGTCAGAATCCTAAGCGGACCGAACCTGAGAGTTATACTTGTAGGTTTTCTATGAAGAGCTCAGGCTCTCAAATGACAGGGCCCGAGTCCTCCATGTATGGAATGGAATGGAATGGAATGGAATGGAATGGAATAGAATAGAATAGAATAGAATAGAATAGAATAGAATAGAATAGAATAGAATAGAATAGAATAGAATAGAATAGAATAGAATAGAATAGAATAACTTTATTGTCACTTTGACTGTACACTAATCGGCGTACATTAAAATGAAACTTCGTTGCATACAGCTTTCTAAGGGTCACCACCTCCAATACACACTTAGGAGTCCAAATACTGAAACTTTTTGCTGGTTTTAACATTCACACCTTTCCGATTTTTTTTTTAAAGCAATGGTTTTGATTCTTGCCATAAAGCCTGCCAGATCAATATTTTCAATAACAAAAATATAACTATCATGTGTGTTAAAAGATTTCTAGCTGATCCACGCGCTCTAATTGGAACCCTTCTGTAGGAAACCCTCCTATTCTGCGATGTCACTTTTAAAGGTATAGGAACCTGTAACTAAGAAAAAATAAATGCACGGGGGAGGGGGAGAGTTTGCGTCCCAAAAAGGTCATATGGATGCCTGTAGCTCTTGCCTTCCGTATAACTTTCAACCTCCGCGAGCCAGGGATACCTTTCTTTAACTTGCTGACTTTACAGGGCTGCATTTCTTATGCCAGAAATCCATGTGCCGACAAAGAGCCGTAGTTAGACGGCTACCCTTTCTCTCTCTTGCCATTCTTACCTCTAGGCTGCATTCTCACTACAGTGCTTTAAAAAAAAAAAAAAAAGACTGTTCGACGCTTACGTCACTTGAACTCTCCTCCCCCCTCTTCCTCGGAGTGGCTGGGAGTTCGTCGGTGTGAAGCGCAGAGCCGTCCGAAAGACGCATGCGCGCCGATGGGTTGGTTGTGTTTATAACCGGGGATGGCTGGTAAAGGGAGGAGGGGGATAATAACGTGGTTTCTTGGCGGGCTTCGGACAGTTACGCGCACAGGTAAGTAGGTGACGGTGATGATGATGGTAGGGGGTATCGCGCCTTCGTCTGACTGGTTTGACCTGGAAGCCGAGATCGAGTCTCCTTTTGAGGTTGAGTGGTCGCTTCCCAGTGTAATAACTGGCACTCGAGGGGCTTTCCTTCAATTTATTGAACCGACCGAACCTCTTACAGGAACAATCTGTCTGAGAACCAATAAATGACTAAAAGGGATTGGTGGGGGGGAGATAACCCTTAAGTGATGGTGTCTAACTGGTTTTGCTGGTTTGCTATGCTTGCTATGCTTCAGAAGTAAATATGGATCACGGAATGGGATGGGAAATTAGGGGAGAAAATAGAATATCTCCCAACATAATAGGAAGGAAATTCAGCAGTGGTAACCAAGGCTGGCAGAGATGATAACTGGAGTCCAACTCTCAAACATTTCTTTCTGGTTTCCCTGAAAAGCTATTTGGTCTGAGAAAATTGGCTGGTTTCCTTTTGGATCTGAAGTTAATTGCAAGACCTGGGTTTCTTAGGAGGAAGAGAAAAGAAGTCTAAAAATATATGAGAAGGCAAATATTGAATAGTGAATTATAACAGCAGAATATACATGCTGATAGGAAAGCTGTAAAATCACATTATACTGTTGTGTTGCTTGTGTTTTTTATTTGTTTGTATTTGTATTTTTCCCTTTTCTCTTTTTTCTTTTTTACTTGTGGTTTTTAAACTTGGAAATTGTTCAATAAAAACTTTTAGAAAAAAGAAAAGTCTAGAGGGCTCATTATTAATATACATAGTATGTATATTACTCTCTCTATATAAATATATATATAAAACTAATATACAGTTGTATTTGAAAGCCTTGATTTCTGCCCCTCAAATTGTGTGAGGATTCAAAGTTGACACTGTACCCTGTATATGTATATATATATATGTGTGTGTGTGTGTATATATATATATATATATATATATAAATGACATATAGCATTTTACAATATATTTTATATTAATAAAAATGCAGTTATATAAACAGGACTCTAGTGACATATTGTGTTAAAGATGATTTATTTGAATTTGCTATATATTTTAATGTTTGTATTATTGTAATTGGTTTTTTATAACCCCCAGTTCAAAGCATGTTGATAGCCTGTCTCTTCAGCTGAATGGTTTTGCAATGTTCGCTGACATAGACACATATTGTCTTGCAATTTTTTAAAAGTTATGAACAAATTCCAGTGACTTCTGTAGAGCTACCAAATTTGGGCTGTAAAATTCAGTCTGACCCTAAATGGCAGCTAAGAGAGTTTTCTGTATCTCATTTCCATCATCCTGCTGATCTGGTAGCCCTATTTGCCACCAAGGACTACATTCAACTGAATGTAAGGGTAATATTTTTCGAAGGGACATATTTTAGATGGAATGCCAGATTTCTGTACAAATATGTGATTACTTAAGTAGATGCAAGTCAACCTTGAACTATGAGACATATTGACTAACCCAGGCTTCTATTTTCTTACGAAACTTCCTCACAGTTCAGGTTTTCTTGGGCTTGCATCATAGAAGGAAATTAGTGGAAATGCTCTGCTTTTACCCCAAATAGAAACAAAACTGGAGAAGATCGTTTTACAATTGTTGGAAGACTGATTTCTGTTTGTTTTATGTAATTACTATTGAAATATTGAAATAGTCTTTCGACTTCATGTTTTTTTTAATTAGTTGCCTCACATTGAGTTTATAAATAGACTTTTTCCAACAGTTTGATAAGATGAATAATTCTTATACAACCACTGATTTTTGTTTGAGAGAAAGCAGTCTTTATGCATATTAAGAACCTCTCAGTTGTTTAAGCAGTCTCTCAATTCCAGTGGTGGAAGGAAAAATCAAGTGATTTCTCTAAGTAATTTCTCTTGTACCTAAACCATCCGCCCACCCCCCGCAGTGAAAAGATTGAAGAAAGGGGGATTACAAGAGAATAAGCAGGTATAGAATGTGGAATATACCAAGTTTTCTAGCATGCTACATCTGCTGGCGTTACCACTACATTGCTTTTGATATGCATTTCCCATTGGTGTGCCTGCTTACTCTCCTATAATCCCTTCCTCTCCAAACTTTCCATTCTAGTGAAGGGAGGGGGAAACAGTCAGGAACAGAACAATATATACTAACTGTAATGGCGATCACATGATTGGGGGATGCTGGAAAGATCATAAATGCAGATATTGTTCATAAACTTATTTTTTCCAGCATCATCATAACTGTAAATAGTCGCTGAACGAGGCAGTCACTAAGGATTAAACTTGCTTTTTTTGGAAGTCTGCAGACTGGACAGTTGCAAAGCCTAGAAGTAGAGTATAAGAATCTCATATAGTAGTTTATCATGAACTTTGCTATCTACAGAACCATTTTATTTATGCTAAAATTGCACTTCAAGATTTAGGGCATCAAAATGCTTTGTATAAACATTCTTGTTTTGCTTACTTTGCAGCACATGTTTTTTAGGTTTCAATAATGTGACTGCTGAGATCAACATGTCTGCTCTCTGTCCTCCTCCTTCTCCTGCTGTTGCCAAGACAGAAATTGCACTAAGTGGAGAATCACCATTATTAGCTGCCACATTTGCATATTGGGATAATATTCTTGGTCCCAGAGTCAGACATATTTGGGCTCCAAAAACAGAGCAACAGCTTCTCAGTGATGGAGAAATAACATTCCTTGCGAATCATACTCTCAATGGAGAAATACTTCGAAATGCAGAGAGTGGTGCAATAGATGTGAAGTTTTTTGTTTTATCTGAGAAAGGGGTCATTATTGTATCCTTAATTTTTGATGGAAATTGGAATGGAGACCGAAGTACATATGGATTATCAATAATACTTCCACAGAGCGAGCTTAGTTTCTACCTTCCCCTGCACAGAGTGTGTGTTGACAGATTGACACACATTATAAGGAAAGGAAGAATATGGATGCATAAGGTAGGTTGTTTTTTTTTAATTGAAATTACTTCTAATACATTGTAATATTTCTACTTGTTTAGGTAAAACAATTCAGATCAGAAGATCTGTCTCTTCTCAACTGTTAAATATCACAAGTTCTAACAGATGGCAAACAAGACAGACTGAAGCTTTTATCTTGCCTTTGGTGTTCTGATATCCTCCATTTTAAAAATAAACATAGTTTTTATGCTTATGAGTCCAGATTTAGTCATACTTTGGCAAAACGAATGAAACCAGTGAAATTTGTTTATCATAATTGATTTCATCAGCATTCAGCTGACCTTGGCTGTTCTCATAAAAATAAGCCAATTCAGATCTGTTTAGGAGTTGGTGGAAGATAAGCAGGAAATTTCAGGACTGAATGGTATACTGGAAAAATGCATTAATAAATCATGTTCAGGAAACCACTAGGAGCTGAGATTGACTTAAGGGAGATTCTACTTTTAACTTACATAGATTTATTCAAGAATGATTAATGTGAAATCAATTCACGGTTTCAGAAGCTGAAATAATAAACCTTCAGAATATATTTAAGAATTCATAGCCCGCTGTTCTGTAGGATTGGGGACTAGCCTTAATTGTGTCATTTTTCATTATTTCTATTTCTATTTTGCTTGATTTTATACTAGTTGTAAGGCTATATTGGCTGCCCAGAGTTGCAATTGGTGTTAATTGATTTTAAAAAATGACATACGGACATTCTGAAAAAAAGTAATAGAAGTTCATTACATGTACCTAACGAATATGTACTGTCTGATATAAACTTGTTCAGAAATATATATAGTTTCTAATAGCCAATAAGAAATGTCTTCCTATTAGAAAAGAGCTAAATTGGTGCTGATCAGATAATTTGGATTAGAACTTTCTTAAAGCCCACTGAACATGAAAATTAGTATGGCATGTTAATGTGTTAGTCTAGCAGCAGGGAAACTAAGGCTGTAGATTACTCCAAGCCACAGAAATATACTCTTTCAGCCTAACCTACTAAACTGGCTTGACATTAGAAAAAATAGGAGCATTCATAATACTTTGAGCTCCTGAATGAAAAGTGGGATATAAATAAATAAAATAGGTTGTTAATAGCCCAGAACATCTGGAAGGTCATCCAGTGTCTTCTTCCTAACTGATCATATTTATCACCATTTATCCAATAATGTATAGTAATTTTAAAAGAATCTCACTGACGTTTTCATGTACCGTGTTTCCCCGAAAATAAGACCCTGTCTTATATTTTTTTGAACCCTGAAATAAGCGCTTGGCCATATTGCCATGCACTCAAAAGCCCGATTGGGCTTATTATCAGGGGATGTCTTATTTTGGGGAAAACAGGGTAGGATACATTAGATTGTTAATTACGAAAAACATTTGTAGTCCCTAATTTTAACATGAATTATTTATTTTTAAAGTATTCATGAGATGAATAAAATAAAACATACTTTGAGGGAAATGTTTGCAACATAATTTTGAGATGATTTTGGACTCTAATAATTCTGTGCTCAAATATAATTTAAATGTTCTGCAAAGTGAAACATTCTTGCACTTTGTTGTTATAGTCCAATAGGATAAATGGTAGTATCCTATTTCTGATTGCTAACAATTTGATAGAAAGGAATAGATTGGAGAAAAAAATCTGAATAGGTCATAATTTCCCTTGAATTTCATGCCTGTGCAAGAATCTAAAAATGTATCTCTGCATTTGGTTTACCAAGCATAATTTTACTTTATTGTCATTGGTTTGAGTACAATGATAAGTTAATTTTTTAAAATAAAATCACATTTATATAATGTCAACATTTGCACGTAAAAAGTCAAAAGTCTTTATTGTTTGTGAATAAATGCTTTCTATTTTAGGAAAGACAAGAACATTTCCAGAAGTCTATTATGGAAGGTGCAGAAAGAGTGGAAGATCAAGTAAGAAAAACACATATAGCAAAACACTGACTTTAAAATATGCATACACACACACACACACACACACACACACTCATACAATTTTCTGAATAGTGGGTAGTTGTGTCCAGCTATCGGGTTCTTTGGCGGCCTAGTTTCCTTTTACCACTAACTTTTCATACAGGTAATCCTTGAGTTACGACAGTTCACTTAGTGACCTTTCGAAGTTACAACATAACACCAAGTATTTATGACATACTCCTGAAGTTATGAATGTTGCAGCACTATGGCAGTTGTTCACCCTTATGAACGACCGCATAGACTCTGCAACATTCACCCTCTTCCCCTCCCCACCCACCCACCCACCCACCCCTGCTGGGTCGCCAGAGGCACTAGGACTGTGGATACTTTGTGAAGATTTAGCGATCCTTCAGTTTCTTGGCCTTTGGTTTCTTGGCCTGCTTCGGTGCTTCAGCCTTCGGTGTGTTTGCAGAGAATGGAGTCTTAAAGTACCACAAAACTCACAGTACTTTAGGCCTCTGTTCTCTGCAAACGGATGCCTAGACGAGATCTGTGGCAAAAGGCTTTGCAAATGGAGGGAAGGCCTGAAGCACCGAAGCCTTCCCTCCCTTTGCAAAGCCTTTTTCTGTCTTTGCAAAAAGCCTTTGCTGCTGAGAATGGAGTCCGGGCGGGATGCGCACATCCCTCGGGGCCTCCATTTACGGCGCAAAGTCCTTTCTTCAAGTCCTTTGCTGACGAAAACAGAGCCCAGGACATAAAGTAAGTGATCCTGAGATACTTCATGCACATAACGGTCCACGTATTCTATTAGTGAATGCATGGGCAAAAGGAGGGAGTGATGACATTCAAGTTACGTGATTCACTCCTATGAATCCTCGGGTTATGAATGTAATTGGCAGGTTCCATTACATTCATAACTTAAAGATTACCTGTGATAGCATTCTCAAATGAATTCCCTTCCACAACACAGCCAAAGTAAGTGAGACACAGCTCTATGATTTTGCCTTCTAGTGACATGTCTGGTGTTATGTGCTCCAGAAAAGCAATATGAAGTTAAATTATGTTAAACCACATAGAAATTGGAAATCTAAATATTTTAATATTTTTGTTCCACAGAAACAATTAACATGAATTGGGAGTGTCCCTAAGAGTGGTCATTTCCTAACAAAGTAGTACAATTTGTCAAAAGATTTTCCTATGTCATTCATCTATCAGAAAAAGAATCGCCAATATGCATGAATGTTAAGTTATACATAGTTGAGATTTATTACATTATATTGAATAAGAAATGAAGCACAAAACATTTCCTTTTGTAATCTCTTAACCATAAAGTACAATTCTATATTCATTTCATTTTTTAGCTTGCTTCCATCCTAGATCAGATTACATTATATAAGTACATTCAATTTTAACCCACTGATTTAAAAACTTACACATTTTCACTCTTGATTTCCTATTTCTTCGATGATTTTAGAATAAATCTGAAAAATTAATTTTTCAAAATCACTTTTAATTTCTCTCTCTTTTTCCTCCAAAAACCATTTAGTCTCTAAATAGTCTTTTCTTACAATTTTGTTAAATTCAACTACTTTATTTAATAAAACTTGTATTTACTCTACAGGGCCAGAGTATCATTCCAATGCTGACAGGGGAGGTCATTCCTGTGATGGAACTCCTATCATCTATGAAATCACACAGTGTTCCAGAAGAAATAGATGTAAATCTTTGAATTTTGATTTTTTAATTAGTTTATCCAAGTATAAAATACAAAGAAAAAAAAAAGATGTGAAAAACTAAGAAAAGAAAGCTTGAGAAAAGGGGTGGAGAAAAAGTATAAAGGGAAACAGTGTAAACGGAATACAGTGTAAAGGGAATATAGAAAAATTGTGATTGTAATGTTATTATCTTCTACTGTGCTAAAGAGAGTCAGAAATCAGAAGAAATAGATGCAAGTCTTTATGTGAAAGGAGGAGAGCCAACTTGATGTAGCAGTTAAGACATGAAACTAGAAATCAGGAGACCGTGAGTTTTAATCCCATCTTGGTCACTTTGTGCCAGTCATTCTCTCTCAGCCCTAGGAAGAAGACAAGGGTAAGAAGGCAAAGCCAAGAAAACTGCAGGAACTAATCCAGACAGTTACCAGGAGTCAAAAACGTATTTGACAACACACACACACACACACACAGAGCATGAAAGGAAGCACCTGACTTATTTAGGTTTTTTTTACTACAGGTAGTCCTCGATTTATGACCACAATTGAGCCCAATTAAGCAAAACATTTCTTAAGTGAATTGTACCCCATTTAATGACCTTTCTTGCCACAGTTCTTAAATGAATCATTGCAGTTGTTAAGTTGGTTAACAGTTGTTAAATGAATTTGTCTTCCCCATTAATTTTGCTTGTCAGAAGGTCACAAAAGGTAAATCACCTGATCCAGGACACTGCAACTGTCAAAAATACATGCCAGTTTTTCAGCATTTTTAAAAGACTGTTCACAAGAGACTTATGAATGGGAATGGAAAAAGTGGATAGATTATGTTCAGAACAAATATCAAACTAGGAAGTATCAAATAGCTTTTATTTGAAAATGATATTTTAAGATAGAAATATTTTAATGCAATGAAGATGAAAAAAATTATGAGGGGGAGGGAGGGGTTCAAGTTTTATATAAGTTTTATACTAAGAGGGGTTTTTACCTGAAATGAGTATATTGTGTAGAAGTCCGGGGGGAGGGGAGGGTTAGGGAGGGCTAGGGAGGTTGGGAAGTTCGGGGTGGGCTGAGGGGGGGGGGAAAGGGGTGAAAATGTAATTGTAAAACTTTTGCAATAAAAAAAAAATACATGCCAGTTGCCGAGCGTATTAATTTTGATCATATGACCACAGGGGTGCAACGGTTGTAAGTGTGAAAAACAGTCATAAGTCACCTTTTTCAGTGTCATTGTAACTTTGAACGGTCATTAAATGAATGGTTGTAAGTCGAGAATTACCTGTATTTTGAATTCTATTTAGGCAAATATTAATGTGTGATGAACAATTTATACCTTTGCCTGCTTAGAAATGTAAGGTGTACAGATTGAAAGCATGTACTTTAAAGTCCCAGCAGATGGCTGACTAACTCTGAAACTAAACCAGGTCAAACCTGGTTAATCCTTTGGTGGTGGACCTCTTGAGAAAGCCAACCCTATTGACTATATTGGAAATTTTTAAAAAGTTGAAAGAAGGCAACAACAGACTGTTTACACTGTCAATAAGAGTGCATTGATGCGATCTCCACCACTTTATTTTTTGCCTTTTTGAATATAATTAACTGCCACTTTTAGTTTGTCTTTGAACATGTGAATATGTAGAATGATGTCGGTTCCAAAAAACCAAGACACCCTGAATTTCTTCTAAGCAGTTTCTTTCATTATTCCACACCCATAGACAGAAATCTTGCCAAACTAAAGCTGTCTGCATCATTAAAGACATACTCTTAAGAACTCCTAGAGAGGAGATGTTTTGATCCTCTTCCTCCCAACAAAATTATCTAAACTTAGTTGTTTCTTGGTTCCCTGGAATGCAGCACTTCCCCTCCTAGCAATCCATCTACAGTCTACCACAGATGCCCAGTTTTATCATGTGTTAATGAGAAAGGGTTAGAACATCACATTTGATAGATGGAAACTAAAAATTGGCTTGAATAAAAAATTTGATTATATTAGTAAGCTCCCTACGCTGGCAGAAGTATTTATTGATGGTGGCTGCAGTTTATTCTTTTTTTAACATTCTATGATGAGCCCTGGTGGCACAGTGGTTAGAATGCAGTATTGCAGGCTAACTCTGCTCACTGCCTGGAGTTCAATCCTGACTGGCTCAAGGCTGACTCAGCCTTCCAGCCTTCCGAGGTTGGTTAAAATGAGGACCCAGGTTGTTGGGGGCAATAGGCTGACTCTGTAAATCATTTAGAGAGGGCTGTAAAGCACTATAGAGTAGTAGGTAAGTATAAATGTTACTGCTATTGCTATGAGACATTTTTGAAAGAGATTGAGATCTTTAAAATTTTCATGGTAATCAAATATGTTCATATATGTGTCTATGAATATTCTCAGTCATCTAAGTCACAGTTGTATCAGAAGTGGTTTTATTTTTTGAAAAGGCAACTGGAGTAATTTTTTTGAGGAGGAAGAAGAAAAAGACATTTCGCTTCCTATCCTGGAAGTTTCATCAGTTGTATTGGATAGTATTGGAGATGGAAGGATAATACTGTTATTCTGTCAATAACTCTTGTCTTTGCTTTTTCAAAAATAAAAATCAGTTTTGATATATTCATATCTGTGGTTTTCATAATAACTGAATCTTGTTTTCATTATATTCCAGATACGTGATACCGTGCTTAGTGATGATGACATTGGTGACAGTTGTCACGAAAGTTTCCTACTTAAGTATGTTTTATTTTTATTACATTTTTGTGAAAACCCATTGAAAGTGGAGATTTAATGGTAGACCCAGTAGACAGGGGACTTGTTGGGATAGAAATTGATTAGCTTTTGTTACATAAATTTAAAGCAGGTTTTTAAAGAGAGCCTAAATTCTTTTTTTAAAAATTGATAATTTTTTTAAGCACAAAAGACTTACAAATACAGGTAGTCCCAGAGTTATGACCATAATGAAGCCTGCCCATCACGGTTGTAACTCATGACAGTTGTAAAATTTTACAACCTTTTTGTGGAGGTTGTTAAGTGAATTGCCACAGTCAGTAAGTGAGTGAATAATTTGCTATGGGTGTATTTTGCCAAAAACCAGAAGTAAACGTTGGTTTTGGTAAAAAAAATATATCATAAAATGGCATGTGACAAATGGCAAATGTCATGCGACCCTGTTGCCAAGCTTCTGAAGTGTAGTCCTGTGACTGGGCTGGGGGGGTGGCGGGGGATGGGATGGGACCATCAGACCTTTGAATCTGGGTTATAAATAACCCCCAGGTAGATCTGTCAGAACTCCAACAGTCACTAAGTGATAAGTCATAAGTTGAGGACTATCTGCATGGAAACTTGGGTATGATAAATTTAAAGGGGATACACTAAGTGTCATTTGTGAAGAGAAGGAATAACAACTAAAGTGGGTTTGCAGTTTTCTTCTTTCATGCTTGCTTTCTATGGGGGACACCCCCCCCCAACACACAAAGAAATGAAAAGCTTCAGACTAACTTCTGATGTACTTCTGATAGAGCTTCATTGTTCAACAAGCAGGAGCTTAGAAGATATTTTATTTTTCATACTTTTTGTTTTCAGAATTCTTATTTCAGACTATAACTGTAAAATATAATTAATGGAATTGATAACTTTATCAATTTTTTTGATAAAGAATTTTTTTAATTAAAAAATGAGATTTGATCATGGATATTATGAACCTGAGTGTATTCAATGAAACATGGGTCTTCTCCACAAATACGGCTAGCCATTCTTTTTCTTACCCAACTTTCTTCTATACAGATAGTCCTCGATTTAACAAGCAGAGCTGAGCCCAACGTTTTTGCTGCTCAGACATTTGTTAAGTGATTTTTGCCCCATTTTACGACCTTGACACAATTGTTAAGTGAATCACTGCAATACTCAAGATAGTATCACGATTGTTAAGTGAGTCTGGCTTCCCTGTTGCCTTTGCTTGTCAGTAGGTTGCAAAATGGGATCATATGACCATCATATAATATGAGTCAGTTGCCAAGTATTTGCATTTTGATCACATGGCCATGGAAATGCTGCAATGTTTGTGTGAAAAACAGTCATAAGTCACTTTCTTCAGGGCCGTTGTCATTTCAAATGGTCACTAAATGAGCTGTTGTAAGTCAAGGACTACCTTTATACGTACTCTTGAAATGTATTTTCAAGTTTTGTTTTGCATATGAATAGGTTATATGTGAACTCTCAGATTTTAGATTAATTTTAAAAGACTTTTAAAAAATGAGATTCTGAAATATGTAAACATTGCTCCAACTTGTAATTTTTTAAAAAATTACTTTTTTAACTTCTGCTTAATATTCAGGGCCATAAGTTCACATCTGCAAACCTGTGGTTGCTCAGTTGTTATAGGAAGCAGCGCAGAAAAAGTTAATAAGGTATGTATTTTCTATATGGTGATGGAAACTATTTCCCAGATAGGGTGTTTTAATTAAAATCATAGGGTGTTTTAATTTTTTTTTTTTTTTTTTTGGCTTTAATTTATATGCCGCACTTCTCCGGAGACTCAGGGCGGCTTACAATGCGTTAAGCAATAGCCTTCATACTTTTGTATATTTATACAAAGTCAGCTTATTGCCCCCACAATCTGGGTCCTCATTTCACCTACCTTTGAAAGGATGGAAGGCTGAGTCAACCTTGAGCCTGGTGAGGTTTGAACTTGCAGTAATTGCAAGCAGCAGATGTTAATCTGTTAATAACAGTGCTTTAGTCCACTGTACTACAGGCTCTTAATTAATTAATTAAAACCATAGAAGCAATCATTTTATTTTTGTCTGCCGAAATATTTAATGCTTTGGCAGAAGTTAGGGGGTGAAGGAAATATCTGTTTAGTTAAATTTTTAGTATCAATTTTTTCAATTTACAGATGAAAAATCTGCAATTTCCAAATCTTGTCTTGAGTTGAAATTCAATAATTCCTGATCTGGTACAGAAAATCATGCACGAGATTTGTATACGAGTACTATTTATATATTTGATTTATATCCTGCTTTTTATTCAAGAACTCGAGGTGGCAAACATTTATCCCATAACAACCACACTTTAAGGTTTGATCAAGAAAGCTAACGTGGTTTTAGCTCTCTTAGTATGTATACAGGGAATTTTCTAGGAAATCCAGGGTTGTAAATTCAGTTGGCAAGTTAAAAAATTTAAAAAAACATACTGTAAATTACTTCTGTAATTCTGCCATATATAAAAAGTAACCTTATAAACTGGAAAGTAAGAGTTGCCCAATCTCTGTACAACAGAACTGTCAATCTACAAAATTTTCTTACATTATTTCAGTATCTATACATATATATTTATTTACAGATAGTACGGACACTGTGCCTCTTTCTCACTCCAGCAGAGCGAAAATGTTCTCGCCTTTGTAGAAACGAAACATCGTTTAAGTATGACTCAGGTCTATTTGTGCAAGGGTTACTGAAGGTAAGATATTTTCTTTCCTCATGCATACAGGAAGGTCTCAGTTAGTGTCGGTAATGAATCCCACAAAATGGTTGCATTATTCAAATTAACACTATTTGAGGCAATCTTTCTGGGGGAAATAGGCTAATTGTTTCCTGCTTTGATGGATATAGGTAATGAAAATTTCTAGACATCAATTTTTATATAGTAATGAAATATAACAGTAAAAAAATTAAAATATATTTACAACTTAAATTTATTTTAATGAAGTCCCAGAGTAGTTCTAGAAAACAAAATTCTAAATATTGTTCCTAAGGGTAAACTTGTTCCTAAGGGTAAACTTACACTGTCTTTACTGGCTGTCAAAATGTTTTACCAACAGAGATAGATTGGTTTTCTCTTCTTTAAATCTTCATTATAACCTGCCATGAGGCCTTCTAGATAGATGTTACAAATATTTTAAATAGATAAAGGAGAATGGACCCATAATCAAAGCGTACCTGCTGTCGCCTATATTCTCCTGTACTTCTTCAAAATGAGCCTCTTCTTTTTTGAGCTTTCCTCAACCTGAACCTTTTTTTCTTCATTTTGCACATGCAACAATTAACATCTAAAACCCCAAAAGCAAGGGTACATGTGCTATCCCCAGCCATGTGTGCCTTATCCTTGCATTAAATGCTACCTGGTATCAGTTTATATTCTACACTTAAATCAAGTATTGAACCACTCATACTAATCAAAACCTACGTGTATTGTTAAAAACCAAGCAATTAGAAATCCCCTTTTCTAATCAAAACAATTCTGTCAGTAAATGATTACACTATTTTCTAGATGATCTCTTCCATCTTGCTTTTTCCTTTTAAGAAGATTTCTAAATATTTCAACTTAGCAGGGTTTTTTTCTAATGTCAAGAAAATGTAGTTTTCAATGACATAAATTATTCAGTTATCTAATCAGAAAAGCCTGCTGCTTTCTTAGTTTAATGTACATTACAGTTCGTTTGACTAAAGGAAAAAAAATAACATCTTTGCCTTTCCTTCTCATATGCAGAACGCTTTCTCTACAGGTTAGAATGTTATTGATGGAATTATTTATATTTTTAATTTTTACCCTGACCTTACGAAGAACAAAGCTAAACTTCTTGCTTAAGATTCTGACCTCTTATCCTTCATTTCTAAAAGTTGTAACATTAAAAATAAAAGGAATAAACCAGATAATTGCATGAACAAAATGTAAAAGTACCATTCTAACCATGTTTCTGACTGAGGTAAGACGGGCTGGTTTGAATAATTGCCTCAAGGAACTGTGTAATGGCTGTAACTGAAAAGCTGCCCAACATTGTTTATGTAGATGCACAAAGAATTCAGTTTGAGAGTCATGATCTATATGTGTTTGGAAAGACGTTCCAACATTTTCATTGTGATCTACACGTTGTGAGTTTCTGTAAAGTCACTTCCAGTTTGACACATACTATGTTAATGAAGAATCTTCAGTGATTTATGGATGACTAAGGATAGCTAAGGATTGTAAGGGATTGTCAGTGGAGTTTAATAACTGCAAAGTTCAGTTAGCTCAACTATTCTGTATTTAATACTGCAATCTTTACTTAGAAGATACAGAAGATGTTTTGTGTTCATTAATATATAGGGAAACAGCAATTTAAATCCAAGTACTAGCAATTGTATTCCATTGAATTGAAATAAATTTCATTTCTGAGTACCAATGCATATTTTAAACAGTGGAATCTTGAATATTCTCAGGACACAAGCCAAACTTTAAAGGGCAGCCTTACTTACTTGTACACTGAGAGCATATGCACCAAAGACAAATTCCTTGTGTGTCCAATCACACTTGGCCAATAAAGAATTCTATTCTATTCTATTCTATTCTATTCTATTCTATTCTATTCTATTCTATTCTATTCTATTCTATTCTATTCTATTCAAGCAAAGAGTGACATTTGTTTGTATATTATGTTCAAAATGATATTTTGCATTTTTAATTTTTGAAATTTTATTGTGGCAGGATGTGACTGGAAGCTTTGTGTTGCCTTTCCGTCAAGTGATGTATGCCCCGTACCCTACCACGCACATAGATGTAGATGTTAACACAGTGAAACAGATGCCTCCATGCCATGAACATATTTACAATCAACGACGGTACATGAGATCTGAACTAACAGCATTTTGGAGAGCTACTTTGGATGAAGAAATGCCTCTAGATACCATCATCTATACGGATGAAAGTTTTACACCCGACTTGTATGTATTTTTGAGGAGTTTGCCAAAAAGTTATTTGGTACTGTCCGTTGTGAGTAAATACATTTGAGTAAATACAATGAGCAGATATTTGAATATAGATGTGCATTTTAGGTTGGTGGTCATCATGATTCAGATGTAGAATCTCTATCCTTTTCGCGTGCATGCTTCTGTCTGCCTGTGTCTGTCTGTCTGTCTGTCTGTCTATCTCTAGCTATCTATCTCCATCCTGTTGATAGTGGATCATCAAGGAAGAAGTTATCTATCATCTTGCTGTCTTCATTTCAATTCTAATGCTGGTTGCCGTGCTTGTTATAATTTATTTTTTATATTTAAATCTGTATTTTCAATCACTGTACAGATAGTCCTTGACTTACGACCACAATTGAGCCTAAACTTTGTCAAGTGAGACAATTAAGTGAATTTTGCCCCATTTTACGACCTTTCTTGCCACAGTTCTTAAGGGAATCCCTGCAGGTGTTAAGTTAATTATGCAGTTGTTAAACGAATCTGGCTTCCCAAATTGACTCTGCTTCACAAAAGGGGATCACATGATCCTGGGACACCGCAACTGTCGTAACTATGAACCAGGTGCCAAGCTGGCTCATATTTTGATCACAGGTCCACTTTGATCACATGATCAATTGGGGACTGCTGCAGTGGTCATAGGTGTGAAACATGGTCATGTCACTTTTTCAGTGCCCTTGTAACTTTGAATGGTCACGAAATGGACTGTTGTAAATCGAGGACTCCCTGTACTTTGGGCACATGATTTTGGGTAAAATGTAGAAGGGGTTTCCCATTGCTTTCTCTTGCACAGTGTGACAGATGGCTTTGCCATTTGTCATTAAGATGATCGTTCGCTTCCAGCACCTTTCAATATTGCCTGTGTCTGTTGGTAGCTGGGATTGCGTTCAAGCCTTGGGTGACCCTGCTAGAAGTATATACTCATGGCGATCACTTCTGACCTTCTTACTCATCCCTCCCAAGAACAACCTCCCTGTCCCAATGAGATGGCAGGGCAGGATCATTTTGGGAAGTGAGGGGTGGGGTAGGTCTGGTTTCTGCCTACCTTCTGCATGTTTATAGCTAGATCAGGCCAAGGCCCACCTGGGTTCAATATCTTGCTTCTCACAGTGAGCTACAAGTTGCCTGTGAACTGAATGGAGACGTAGTCCTCTTCTAGTAATGTTCCTCTGGAACTGCAGACACCCTGTTCCCAGTTTGCAGACAATATTTGATTCTCAAGACTCATACTCCCGGATAGACCCGTTCTCTGTGAATTTATCTAATCCTTTTTTAAAAAACCTTTCCAGATTAATAGCTGTCACTTTTTCTTGTTATGGATTCCAACAGTTCATTCTGTGCCTTGAGCATAAATAGTTTTCTTTGTTTCTAAAGGTCCCTACATTTAAATTCCTTGGATGATTCCTGGTCCTGGTGATTTGAGAAAGATTATTACTTCTTGCCTGCTTTCTCCATAGTATGCACGATTTTTTAAAAGCATTTTTATTGTGTCCTCCCTTGTTTGCCTTTTTTTGCAAGTTAAAATAGTGCCCAGTGTTTCAGAATTTTCTCTTTTTATGCTTTATTTTGTTTCTCTGTATTTCTGCAGGAATGTTTTCCAAGATGTTCAGCACCAAGATACTTTAGTAAAAGCTTTCTTAGATCAGGTAACTATGTTTCAGTTTACTTAAAACTAATAATACGGTATATTGTTTATTAAATACTTTTTGCATAATTTTCCATGAAAATAATATTTTTTATTGAAAATATGTAATGTATTTAGGGCACATAAAGCAAGGCTGGGCAATTCTCCAGGCATTTGGGGATAAAATTTCATAATTCCTGGACATTGGTCATGCTTGTTTTGGTTTATTGGAGATGTAGACCAAAATATTTTTTGAAAAAAGGTTGCCTACAGCAATCATATAAGTTTAATAAAAATAAATAAAATAAAGGCAGTTTGTAGGAGAATGGAAGAGCAGTAAGAGAACTCCAGTTAAAGGAGATTTTTCAGGGTGTAATTTTTGTGTGTGCCAATTCTTAACAGGTCTTTCATTTGAAACCTGGATTGTCTCTAAGGAGTGTATTTCTTGCACAGTTCCTCTTAGTCCTTCACAGAAAAGCCTTAACTCTCATCAAATACATCGAAGATGATACGTGAGTTGTAAAGTTAAAGGGAACTATGGGGTTGGCTATCTTGCATCTTGACATAGTTTTAAAGTTTTCCGGTTAACTACATCTTTATTCTTCAACTTGCAGGCAAAAAGGCAAAAAGCCTTTTAAATCTCTTCGTAACTTGAAGATAGACCTGGACTTAACAGCAGAGGGCGATCTTAACATAATAATGGCTTTTGCCGAAAAGCTCAAACCTGGTTTACATTCGTTTCTTTTTGGTCAACCTTTTTATACCAGCGTGCAAGAACACGATGTCCTCATGTCATTTTAAAGACCTTTTAATATGGGTTGGTTGCAGCCTCATAATACTATTTGAAAAGTTTTTGTAAAGGGAAAAAAATGCTTCTCTTCGTAATCACATGCTGCTCTCCACTGCAACTGAATGTAAATTTACACTACAGCCTGTAGAAGGAAGAGGTGAAAAAAAGAATTTGCTTTCAAATTTATTCAATTTAGGCAGGCTCAGAGGCTCTATTTTGCTTATAGTAAGAGACAATATCATTACGTGCGGTCAGAATGCTAACTGGAGCTTTCAAAACAATAAAGCAACAGAAATGTTTTAAAATAGTTTTTGTTGGAGCACAAAGATAGTTTTTGTTTAGAGCGTTATCATTTTTGTTCTTGGTGTTGGGCAAAATGAGACATTCACCCCTTCTCTATTTTGAGATACTAAACTACAAACAAGTGTCGTATGCTGACAGAAGACCGCAATTTCCATGGGGTATTTGCTTTAGATAGTACCAACTTCCTTCCTTCTCTCACACTTTTTAACAGCTCCTAGAAATTGTGGCATTATCTATTTAAATACAGCTATAAAACACTGTGCTTAGAAAAGTCACTTAGTTTGGAATTGGACATAACTGGAATCGGACATGATCCTGGAGAGAATTTTTAAATTAGTAAAGTATCACCAATCATACTAGTGCCCAGTGAATCTACTCTGTTGCTGGTAAGTTAGCACAGATGTCACACTGCTTAATGACTGACCACATTGTAGGTAATTAGAAAACAAAGTGAATACAAAAGCTTAGCTTTTGTTAAAGAGGGGTTAAGTAACTCTTCTGTATTCTGAATGAAAGCCAAATAAATATGCTTATTCTATATTTATGAATTGATGGATGGTAACAAAATTCTGCTTTTTTCTTAAATGACATCAGCTTCCACTTGTGTTGTACATGTCTTCCTTGTGTCTGCATGGTATTGGATATTTATATTGATTTTATTATGCAGGTTTCATAAGTAAAAAATCTGAATATCTGCTGTTACATGTTTCAGTGCATTTATTATTTAATTATAGTGAAGGGAAGATGCCAAAGGCAGATGTATTTATGTGCAATATGTATGTGTTTAATATGATTTAGGAAATGCACTTGTCAAATCAAGGTTTAATGCTGTTTTTCAGCATTCCATAATATGAAGTGGTGTTCTTATAGAATCCTAGTCATTTTTCTTGATCAGTTTATCGGTGGTGACTGAAATGAATACATACTGTTTTTATAAAAAGTTTTCCTCATTAACTTTTACATCTTGTGAGTTTCAAACTTTTCCTGTTAAGGAAATGAACAAGGCTGTCTCTGTCAATCTCTGGTTATCATGGTTCCCTAGATCTCTGAATCTGTATTTTTTTTTTCTAAAATGACGTACAATTTTGCATTGGGAAAGCTATCAAAGCAATTATAACTTGATGGGGGGAAAGGTAGAAGGGAAATCTTCCTTCCTCTTAACAAAATATGGAATAATCCCAAAGTGAATACTAAGTAACTTGATGTTAAGAATACATTTTATCTCAGAGTAAATAGTTTCAGGTCATAGTTGTGCTCTGCTAGAATTAAGAAATCAAATAGTTCAGTAGTTGAAACTACTATATACGTGGCGTTCTGCATTCACAAATCAATAAATGGAGAATATTGAAAATAACGAGGTGGTGGGCTTTTAGCCCTCTAAGTTGAACACTAACTTCAGAAATTTTACTAGTGATGCCCAGGAGTACAGCCACACTTGAAGGACCTTGCTCTGATCACTTACTCTGCTAATAAGTGTTTGGATTTTTCTAGAATATTGGTGCAGTAAATATTTGAGAACTACAGGAGATTTAGAAGTTTATATTTTCAGAAAAAAACTTCAGAAAAAAATCCAGGGATTATTTTAAAATAAGTGTGTGCAACTGTATCTTACTGTTTAAATTATTATTAGCTAATTCATTATCTTAATCAGTATTCACTGTTCATGCATTCAGTTTAATTTATTGGAAATAGACTTTGAAAAAAGTATCTAGCCTTCTCTTCATTACTGATTTGAGGAGAGGTTTGTAGGTCTAAACATCTGATGGGCACAGGATTAAAAAATGTTGAGCTAAACTTGATACATTGTAGGTTTCTATGTATTTTTCACGTTTTCAGTCCTTCGAAAAAAATGTGAGAATACATGAACCCATTCTTTCCTAATTCATTAAATGACACTTTGAAAGGTGGCGTACAGCATTTAATTTTTTTTCAACAGTTTACATAGTTTTACATTCTTCTGAATATGTATACAAGAATGTTACCACACTCAGTCCACATTATTCAATCCTGTGTCTAACTGTATCGTGATGTATTTTGACCAATACAACTGGAATTACAAAAGAAAACAAATTACAATATCATCTTTATTCATTATGGAATGTAAATACTAAAAAACTTACCAAATTTTGATGCACTTTTCTCTCGCATGTTTATGTAACAAAATAGTTATGTGACCGTGATCTGTGTTCCATATGTTATGGTTAAACATTAAATTAAGCTATTGAAAATGTTCTGGTGGTGTTTTTAACATTTTAAAGCAAGACTATCTTTCCTCCTCTAAGCTTTAAACAGTTTTTCAGCTGCCACAAAATTCTCTTTTCTTCAGGAAGATTGAAACAATGATCTTCAACAACAGCAAAATAGAGTTTTACAAAAAATGTTTCATTGTACATGTTTCATTACAGGTAGCCCTCAATTTATGATGCATTCCCTCACCCTCCAAAAAAACCTATTTACTGCCCATTTTCAAAATTAACAACCCATACACAGTCATGTGATTGCATTTTGGGTGCTTGGCAACATCTCACCATTTCAGATGTTTGCAGCGTCCCACAATCATGTTCACTACAACTTGAGACATTTTTTGCTAGTTTCTAGTGTAAGTCCTGGCTCAATTGGTCATAAGTCAAGGACCAGCTGTACAAAAACCATATTTTAAATAATATTATTTCTAATACCTATAACCATTCAGAACCAGACAAATAAACTGAAATAGTGGTCCCAAAATTTAACTACACATAAAACCAATAGAATCAGAATTTTAAATCCCTGAGAGAATAAAACACCCTTTGTGTAAAGTTGCAATGGCAACCCCTCCACAGGGGTAAAAAAATAAAAATCAGTCAGTGGATCACAGTGAAGAAGAATGGTTCCTCTCTATTATCTCCTCTGCAAAAGACAGGAGAAGTTGCAATGGATACTGTATAGGCAGCTTTCAAACACCCAGATCCCAAGTTTTAAAGTGATAACCCAAACGTGTTCAGGTCTGAAATTATTTTTTTTTAAAAAAAAAAAAAGCTTAACTGATGAATTCATTCCCTACTGCTACCCATATTAACAAGCCAGTTCCTTGCAGAATCAGATCAAAGTCAAGATGGACTCAAGATAGCACATTGTACTGATGCCCATAAACTCCATAAATTAGATACGGACATCCCAGGTTCTATCTGTTGGGTGACAGAACACAACACAAGGGGACTCAATTGTGGAATTCATTGCAGATTATTAGAGGGAAGTAGCCTTCAGGTTAATGTTGACCCTTGGTGACTGCCTGGATTGGTCCCTGCAGTTTTCTTAAGATTTTCAGAAATGGTTTGCCATTGCCTGCTGCAGAGGGCTGAGAGTGACTGGCCCAAGGTTGCCTGGATGCCTTCATGACTAAGGGCAGAAATAGAATTTGGTCTCCCGGTTTCTAGCCTAGTTCCTTAACCATTGCACCAAACTGGCTCTCATTGCAGATACAGGTACTGTGCTTAAAACGATAATTGGGAGAGTTGCATTGCTAAATGCCATAGCTGCAAGTGTGATTATCACATGATTGTGCCAATTTAACAGCATTTATGGCAGTCTCATTTGTTTGATTGTATCTCACTTTATTATTTTTACAAATAGCTCTAGGCAGCGAACATATCCAACATACTCTTCCTATTTTCCTGACAACAACTCTGTGAGGTGAGTTGGACTGAGAGTGACTGATTGGCCGAAATCACAATTTGATGGCTAAGGCCGGGACTTGAATTCACGGCCTTCTGCAGTTGCTCGTTAGGTGAATTCTCTGCTGTCATAGTACATACACACATTTGTGATCTGCTACCGTGTTTCCCTGAAAATAAGACCCTGTCTTATATTGTTTTAAACCCTGAAATAAGCGCTTGGCCTTATTGCCATGCGCTCAAAAGCCTTATTATCAGGATGTCTTATTTTGGGGGAAACAGGGTAGCTTACCCATTGACTTTGCTGATCAGAAGTCAACAGCAAAGATTGCAATTGGTGATTATGTGACTGAAGATCACTGTGACTCAAAATTATGAGTCAGTTGCCAACTGTCCGAATCAAGATCACATGATTACAGGGACACTGGAACGGCTGCACCTATGAGGACCCTTTGTAAATCCCCTTTGTTCAGTGCCATTGTAATGTTAAATGGCAGTGGTCAGTCAATGAGGACTACCTGTATAGCAGTCATAAATGAAGAATTGTCCTACCTGGATTCAGGATTTCATCTTGTCAATCTTGATTCTGACTGAAGAAAAAAGAGGTATGGATATCATGCCAACAATTCTCCAGTCAGGCATTCAAGTTTAAACAGTTTGGAAACCCAAACTACAGATTTTTCATGTGATTCACTGGAATTAACTTTTGCAAATAATGTTTTTTTCTGTATAGCTTAAACTCTTGTGTTTCCCCTTTTTCTTGTTCATGGGTAGTTTTGAATTACAAATGCTGCTGAAAAATAGGAGATTAAGAATTGTTAAGCAGGTATGTTTACAAAAAGTAGAATGCAATTCTGATTACTTTTTAGCGGGCATTCATGGAACTATTTCTGGACAAAGTACACTTTGATCTGATCTGGTTAAGCATTTTTCTTCTTAAATAAGCATTATTCCTACTCCAGTTAGTCAGCAAGCTAAATTTCTAATACTAGTTAAGAAATCCTGAATTCACACCCTTGCTTTTTAATTTTAAGTTGAATTCAAGGGGATCCTACAATAAAAATGAAGAACAATGGAAAACTGAAATCAGAAAATTGATATATGGTAGATATCTCAAAAAGCAATTATTAGCTATATAATTTATGATAATTCTGCCATTGGCCGGTTGAAATAGGTATTTAAAAATTTTTGCCTCATGTTTCAAAACAATTCAACCAAATATGGAATTTTTGGAAGAGATGATATGTCCTGCACAGAGCAAAATGTCTTGGAGCTACTTCCAGTTGATGACATTTTACAGTTTTTCAAACTTGTATTAAATGAAATAAAAATATTTCAGCTTTTGAATCTGAAAGATGAAGTTGAAGGTAATCTAATTGAATTCAACTCCTAGTGACCGCATTTCAATAATCTTGACAGTATTACAAAAGTTTTTTGCCATTGTTTTCTTCCAGATGTTTTCAGCAAGCTTTTTCAACTTCTACAATATTTGTTTAGGTATGTGTTTATTACATTTTTATGCCACTCATCTCCTCTATGAGGCGACTACAACCCTGGAATTCTTGGGTAGTTCTTCAAATACTAACCCAAGCTATATAGTAACTTGAATATTTTTCTTTTGTCTAATATAAGACAAGTCTGAAAAACTGTCATCAACTGGAAGTAGCCCCAAGACATTTTGCTCTGTGCAGGACATTTCATCTGTCCCAAAATTTCCATATTTGTTTAAATTGTTTTGAAATATGAGACAGAAAATTAACCCTGCTTAGTATTTAAGATAAACAAAGATTGGGAAGGTGCTGTTATACACTAATGCGTTCTAAGTCTATAGGATGGCTTACATAACTTTTATTCTGCTTTACTACACTCTTAAAAGCCTTGTTCTAGCTACAATCGCCATAGAACTGTCCTAGAACTACATGAAATGTTTATACAATGTTAGAGTCTTCTTGATTAGCTTTAAAGGATTTCTTCATTAAGACTTTATTATGTAGTTTTCTTCTCTGCTTTATGGGAAGGATTCATTAGAAAAATATTGTAATTTAAAGTAAGACGCTTAGCATTAATTTTGTAGGTAGAAACTATTTCACATGCTTTAGAGCGCTTATGTGGAGAAAAATACGATTATTCCAAATTGAGTATGTTGAGTACGTACTGTAGTTGCTTTTAACTGTTGGGCCAGACTTCACCTAATTTGCTGGGGTTTTTTCACAGCGTGTATTCTTGCCAATTTTCCAGCTTCTGACAAAGGTTCACAATTAAGCTGTCTCTTTTCATTTCTCAGAAGAAAGCATTGGTGCCCTAGAGAATAGTTAAAAGGGAATTAAGAGTCAAGCAGGTTAACATGTCTCCAGAATAACTGGAGATTACCAAATCACAGAAGCATAGTTTTAACCCCCTACTCAGCACAAACATCCAAATTAACGAGCCACTGACAGATGGCTGCCTAGACTTTGCTTGAAGCCATTGTTGTTGTTTTCCATTAGGATGGAACTCACCACTTCTTAAGATAATTGATTCCATTCTCTTAATATTAGAAATAATTTTCTCATAGTGATTGAAAATCTATATTCCTACAACTTAAATCCATTTTTGTGCTATGTGTTCTGGAACAGTGGATAACACATCTTATTCTTTAACGAATTTAAAGAATGCTATCATATCCTCCAAAAATCCTCTCTTCTCAAAGCTAAACATTCGGAGTACCTTCAATTTGTCTTGATAGGACTTGATTTTTAGTCTTGTAATTGCTTCTGTTCCTAGATCTATATTGGTTCTATTTTTTCTGAATACTTCTTAAAATATGTGTGGGGGATAGGGGCTGTTCAGTTAGAATAAAGAACAATTGTTTTCTGTGATTTAGAAATTATCTCTATGTTGAAAACCATACTAAAAACTATTAAAGATTCCATTGTAGTTAATAAGCTGTTTCAAGAACATAAAGACCTTTCACAAAGCATGTGTTGATTTAGGCACTGTTTTCCAATCTCGTGCTCTTCAGATTTTTAATTTCCATAATTCCTTAAGACAGCATGACCAATGATTGGAAGATTATGGAAGTTGAACTTTGATACACTGGAACAGATTCTGTCACAATTAGCATAGACTGAAATGGATTGAGTAGTTTATAATTCAACAGGATGTAGTTACTGAGCCATTGCCTTACAAATGTTGTGTGAATGAGTCTATCACATTATAGCATGTGGTGTATTTGTTTCAGCATAGCATATTATTAGAATTAACCATGTTATAATGAACCCGACCATCAAGAAGGATGGGCTGGGAAAGTAACACAAAAAATGATAAAATCTTGGCCAAATATCTTAAATACAATAAAAAGGAATGCCAAACAAAGAAATCACTCAAAATGGCCATAGTTATTTTTAAAACATCACCTTTATAAAACATGGCCCGGTGCTTGAGAGCTATCATATGATCAAAACAAGAAGAATAAATAAATTTTGATAGCAGAATAATGAGAAAAGGTAAAGGCAAGAACATAGATCAATAAATTTACCACTGAGTTTCAATTTCCATAGGTAACTATTTTTCTTTTACAAATACGTTCTAAAGATGGCAAACACTACCTTTTCAGTTTAGTCCTTTTATTTCCCTTGCCTGTTGCTTGTATATTTGATAACTAAAATAAAGGAAGGTTTCTCATTCATTTTTCTAAAATTGGTTATCTTGTTTTTAAAAACATCTTTGGAAATGTTATGTTTGCCCTAGCCATACAACACATTTTTTATATTCATTTTGGGCATTCTTCTCTGATAACGAGCTCAGTCCTTCTTTGATTTAGGATACAATAAGTCCCTTTATTCAGACATCTAACTTTGAATTTTCCTTCAGTACATTTTGGGCATAAATAATTTCAATCAACTTGAACAATGTGGACTGCATTTTAGGATAATCTCCGCTGCTAAAGTGTTTAAATTAGGGAAGAACAATTACAAACAACTAGGCAGGAATAAGTATCAGCTCAGAATAATAGACTTGTCTCCAAAGACATATTTTTCTACCTTTCCCCTTCCTTTAAAATGCTTCAACTTTCAAACTTATTCAGGGCGGAAGATTTGTAACTCTCAGATTGATGCTGGAGTCCAACTAACAACCCAAATTATTCTGGCAAAGAGGCCCACAGGTATGTTTGCAGGGAGAGCTCAAAAAAGCCAAGTTTATGGCTGCACTTAAAAAATGGGAAGATTTCAATCACCCAGACTCAGTCACTGACTTGAATGTTTGACATCTTCCCCCATAGATACCTCCAAGGGTACAGATAATGGGAGCCAAAATCCATCACAGGCACTTTTCCTTTATCCAGAAGTTAATCATGAGCAGGTACTTGAGATTTCCTAACTCAGTTTTTCTTGTCTATAGCCAATACTACTGTTCCTTTAATGGTACCCTGATACTCATTTTGATCACAACTAGACATTTAGAAACTTTTTAGTGAAAGTTTTTTTTTTTTATGGCATGGAAGCAAATTATGGAAATTTCTCTACTTATTTCATTTCCTTCTCTGGCTATTTGTTACAAGACATTAGAATCAAATTATATAACTGGACCATGTGAAAGTTGAACTGCATGACTTTCTACTTCTTGGAGAGTCAAGAAATCTGTAATGTAGAGATTTACAATAAATATGGACTTGAATCTATCTCTCTTGAATCCGGAATATTATACCACACTTTTTCATCCAGTCTCATAAGCAAAGGCGGTTCTAGGTCCGTATCAGATTTAGCCCAATGTTCGTAAAATACAAGACTCCATAAATTTTGTGTGTTTTGTTTAGATGAATATGAACAATTTTAAAATAAAACGTTTTACAATTTCACAATGGTTAACAAAAGGAGCTGTCTAAGAATTGCTGAGAATATGAAAAATAATTTTCTCTCGTGCTTGAACAACTGCCTTTCTCTTTCCTGTACATCTCTAGAACAAGGGTGTAAATCTAATGATACAGTGATGTAATTGTAGAATATGACCTTAATAGTTTTGGTGGAGCCCCTTTACACGATCATGTCTTTCCCTCCACAGGGAGGAAAAATATGTGGTGAAAGCAAATATCTTGCAAGTTCATTTAACAAGACATTTCAGTATTTGCAGAAGAGCTTGCTCCAAACTAAGAACATACAATGTTAAGAAATCTTACCACAAAAGGCTAGAGAAAACCAATACACACACAAAATCAAGAAATGTTCTCCACTGCCTTATGGTTTATATCCATAGTCCTGTTAAAGCAAAAAGGAAAGAAGAGAAAGGAAGAAGGGTTTGCAGTCTTAATTTTGTCTGGAGCCACACATTGCGCTTAGCTGTGATTTGCTGAATAAGCCACAGCAGCTAAATTGACATAGTTAACTCCTATCCCAAAATCAAATTTTTGGCTTACGGGAACTTTTTGGCTTATCATGATGCATGAACCCAGTCTTTCTTGTAATGCAGGGGTGGGTTCTACTTATCTTTACTACCGGTTTGCAACGGGGCCACGCGTGCGCTCTTCTGCGCATGCGCAGAAGCGGTCTGATGATGTTGGGGTCGGTGGGCGGAGCCTCCTGCCGGTTTTACTACCGGTTCTATAGAACCGGTGTGAACCGGGGGCAACCCACCACTGTTGTAATGACAAAAGTCTTGGGAAATATACACATTTGCTCTGAATTGCTTGAAGAAATGATGGAACAAAAAGCTAAAGAAGCCGTTCCTATAATGGGAATATACTTTTTCCCACCCAATAATCATCTGGCTTCTTCTTCTTTTTTTTTTAAATCCTCATTATAAAACATTTTACCCTTTGTCAACATTCTCTATTGCTAAGTCTGTTTAATAGGATGTGAAACTTTAGATCCTAGGTAATAACAAATCTCTTAAGAATCATTTACTTCCTCTAGTTAAATGGTTAGGTGAAGGAATTGCCTTCCATTTGGTTAACAATTTGGCCGTTTTTAAAAGAAGTAAATTACAGATAGTCCTTGACATTCAACCATTCCTTTAGCAACAGCTTGAAGTTACAATGGCACTGAAAAATGTAATTTACAACTTGTCATCATACTTATGATCATCACGGCACAACATGGCTACATGATCAAAAGGTGGGCCCATGGCATGCATTTACAAGGTGGTGGCAGAATTCATGTGATTTCAACATGACTCTTTTCATGTTCTTATCAGGGGTGAAATCCAGCAGGTTCTAGCAGGTTCTGACAGGTTCTGGAGAACTGGTAGTGGAAATTTTGAGTAGTTCAGCGAACCGGCAAATACCACCTCTGGCTGGCCCCAGAGAGGGGTGGGAATGGAGATTTTGCAGTATCCTTCCCCTGCCATACCCACCAAGCCACACCACGCCCACCAAGCCACACCACGCCCACCAAGCCACGCCCACAGAACCAGTAGTAAAAAAAATGTGAATTTCACCACTGGTTCTTATGTCTCCCCTGATGTCCTTCACACTGCAACTTCCATGATCCCCAAGCAGAGAAGACTCATCAGAATTGAAATCAAGTAGTTCAAGATTCAGAGACTGAGAGATGGTTTAGTGTCCCGTTTAAAGCATCAGACTAGAAATCCAGAGACATTGAATTCTAATCTTGTTTTAGGCAAAGCCAGCTGGGTGACCTTGGGCCAGTTATTTTCTCTCAGCCCTAGGTAAAAAGCCAATGGCAAACCTCTTCCAAAAGAGCCTTGGTAGTACAGTGGTCTAAGGCACCCTGTTATTAAGCTGGTTATTAAGACCAGCTGCCTGCAATTACTGCAGGGTTCGAATCTCGCCAAGGCTCAAGGTTGACTCAGCCTTCCATCCTTTCTAAGGTAGGTAAATTGAGGACCCAGTTGTGGGGGCAATAAGCTGACTTTGTATAAATATACAAAAGGATGAAGGCTATTGCTGAGCACATTGTAAACCGCCCTGAGTCTTCGGAGAAGGGCGGCATATAAATCAAAAAAAAAAAAAAATCTTGGCAAGAAAATTGTAGGGATTTGTGCAAAAGCAGTCTCCAAGAACCAACTTGAAAGCACACACACACAAAAAATAAAAATAAATCAAAGATTACAAAAACACTCTTGTTCTTTTCAGCTTTCATCGAACAGTTAGTACTTCTGGGCCATCGCATAAGACTTCACCTTTTGCTTTTGCAAACATTTCCCGCCGTTCTGCTTCTTAACCAGTAATCTCTTTCCTTCGCTGAAATTGAAGAGGGACACTTTAGCGACGCTCCCTTCGGTCGGCTTTTTTTCCCCCCCCCCCTTGCCAAGGGGAGAGTGCAGTACTCAGCCGCGTCCGCCAGGGGAAACCTTGTCGACTCCTTTCGGTACAGGACGGTACTCAACCGCGCGAGTCCCGCCGGAGTGCAAGGGCGTTTGTTGATGTCGCGGCTGCGGGAATCCCGTCTTTTCTTCTTCTTTTTTTTGGTCGGTATCCTCCCGGCGATCGAGGTGCTGCGCGTATTAAGAAACCCACTTAACCCCATTGCAACAAACTCCCCCATTTTTGTTTGACTGGAGTTTTGATTTGGTTGGGCTTTTCCCACCCACTCTCTCTCTCTCCTTGGAAATCCCTCTTTGGAGTTGATTTACTTGTGGTTGCAAACTACCACCCCAGGTTTCCGTCCAACATCCTTGCGCTGTGGAAGGAAGGAGCCAGAAAGAAGCCGCCGCTTATCCCTTACCGGGTTGAACGAAGGTAAAATCCCAAGGAAGGAATGCCTTCTGCTTTAGGCTGCTTCTCCTTATTAGCAGTCCCCTCCGTCTGGGATCGCTTCAGGTTCCTCTTGGAAATGGACCTGGGGGGTGGTGGTGGTGGGGAGAGGGAGGTGTGTGTGTGTGTGTCTTTGCGTGCGTGTGTGATGATCTCGCCGAGGAGGCGGAGAAGGAGGGAAAACTGCGCATCTTGAATTATGCAATATTGCGCCGTGAAAGTTTGGCTCCCCCACCGCTTTTCCTCGTCCTTCGCAGCCTAAATTCAGGCGGCTGTTAGGAAGCTCGGCGGGACCGTCTTACTCTTAAAATTAGATTAAATTTGGATTGCCCCCCCTCATCCCGGGCACATATTTTACTCGGAAGTCAGGCACCGGTTGCAATAGAAATTACCCCTCCCCTCTCCAAAAGGATTGAGAAAGGATCGGTTCTTTTCAGTGGTATACTTTTAACCTTATTACAGATAGTCCTCGACTTACAACAGTTCGTTTAATGACGGTTCAAAGTTACAGCGGCATGAAAAAATGACTTCTGACCCCCTTTCACACTTACTAACATAGTGGCATCCCCATGCTCACACATGATCAAAATTCAGATACTTGGCAACTGACTCATGTTTATTATGATGGTTGCAGTGTCCCAGGCTCATGAAATCCCCTTCTGACAAGTATAGTTTTTAGTGGGGAAGCTGGATTTACTTAACAACTGCTTTACTAACTTGACAGCTGCAGTGATTCATTTAACTGTGGCAAGAAGAGTTGTAAAATGGGGCAAAAAACTCACTTAACAGCTGTCTCACTTAGCAATAAAAATGTTGGGCTCAATTGTAACAAATTGTTGGGCACATTGTAAGCCGCCCTGAGTCTCCGGAGAAGGGCGGCATATAAATCAAATAAAAAAAAAATTTGTGGTTGTAAGTCGAGGACTACCTGTACCATTTTTCCTCAGTTTTTTAGCAACTGGGGCTGCTGATTCCCCTCCTCCTCCTCCTCCTCCTCCTCCTTCCAATGACTGCAAAGAGTCTTTTGAATTAAGGGGTGGGGGAGATTGTTGCTGGAGTCATGTGGTTGTTCAGTATAGGAGGCCTTTTATAAGGAACAAGATTAATTGCCTGGGAGACAGAAATTGCAACAGATTCAACACTTTTGGGGGGGGAGCAGTAAAGGGATGTTGTAGTATTTGTGGGGGGATTAATGCCACAGAGATTTGTATATTTTATTTCAATTCAGGGGAAGTTTAGTGTCCCAATTACATTCCACACATTCAAGTAACCATCCCACTCTCGGAAAAGCAGACTTAAAATAAACCACATAAAGCTTAACTAAAGTCGGTCCCAGGTAAATTGCCAGGACTGCCGCAGTGGCTTTCCTATTTACTTATTTTTTAAAAGTAGAACTGGATTGAAATAATTTGTTCTGGATCTTCTCTCAAACATCTCAACGCCTCCCTTTTTCTTTCGGAGTTTGCTTTTTAAGCTTTTTCTTCCATTGGGATGAACAGCTTTTTTTCACCGACCTTCTCACGAAAAATGGAAGTATGTATGTATGTATGTATGTATGTATGTATGTATTTATTTATTTATTTATTTGTGTGTGTGTGTGTGTGTGTGTGGCAAAGATCAGCAAGTGGGCTATTGTTTAAAACCCACATAGCCGGAGTTGAAAAGGACAGAGTGGGAACAGTTCTGAGAAAGCTTTTGAGAACCCAGTTTGAAGAGAAGGACATTTGTTAAGGGAGAGGGTATAGAAAGTAACAAAAGAAAAAAAGAAAACCCTATTTAGAAATCCTAGGTTATTGCATTCTGTTACCAACTCTTTTCCTATTTTATACTATTCTGTTCTGTAGCTTGCCTCGGTTATATTTGCTTCTGTTAAGGGAACTTGATTTTACTGCCTTTAGGGAATATCAGACTTGTTCTTCAGGATCTGCTGTTTTAAATGCCTTTGATCTGTATCTCTGAAAGGAGGTGAAACCCGAAATAAAAAATGTCAACATGACCTCCTTTTCTGAAAAGTATGTGGGGGGGGCTGGAGGATTACTGATTCAAGGCAAAATAATGATGATGAAACAGTAGCTGTTCTCAATATTATTTAGCAGCCTTTTCCTAATTCATCTCTCCTCTCCCTAGACAGAAGGTAGAAACTTCAAAACAGAACCTCTTTCTTAGCTGTTGTAATTGTGCTACTGAGGGAAAAAGAGGCCCACTGCCAAAGCTTTAGGATTGGTGACCTGTTCCTCACCTTTCAAGCAATGCTTGTTAAAAATGGAAAGGATGTAGGGTTATATAAATGGAAGTTAGAGGCTGAATCAGTGAAAAGCCTGACCTCGTGCAAGTCAGTAAATTTGGAGAAATGCAGCTTTTGGAGAACTGTTGCCAACTTTGACTAAGGGAACCAAGCCAAGGGACTGGAATCCCTATTGGGCCCACTTTATCATAAGCTACTTTGCAACAATCACTTAAAATACTTAAATATGAAAATGTGGAATTCTGAAACAGGTCACAAGTACCCTGCTTAGTAATCTTTGGCAGGGGTGTCAAACTGGATTTCTTCAAGGACTGGATCAGCATTGTAATTCTCCTCTGCGGGCCGGGAGGGGGGTGGAGATGGGATGGACTCCTCCTGCAGCAACCTGATGGCGAAAAAGGGGCGAGGGGAACACATGCCCCAACATCCCGTTTTGGCCAGGAAAGTGCTACAGGAAGCCGTCCAGGCCAAAAATGCCCCGCACCCAGCACCCCGTTTTGGCTGCCAGAAGGGGTCGGACCTTTGCTATTTCCAAGCTGGCCCCACAGGCCAGATTTAAGCACCCTGCTGGCTGGATCTGGCCCATGGGCTTTGAGTTTGACACCCGTGGTCTATGGTATAATTATGATATTCTGAGAAAATCTCAGATCAGGATCTAAGGATTTCTGTCTATATTCTGTCTGTAAGGATTTCTGTCTATAAAATCTTTGAAAACGGTCTTTGCTGCTAGACTACGCTGTTCCAAATTCTCTCCCTCCTTTAGGATTACATCAGGGGTTGGCAACTTTAAACACTCAAAGAGCCATTTGGACCTGTTTCCCACAGAAAAGAAAACACCGGGAGCCACAAAAGTCCTAAACGGAAGCCCCCCATTCAATTCTGGAGCTGACCGGAATTCTGGTTTCCCCACCATAGAGTCTCCTCTTAGCTCGGCGTCCTTTTTCCTCTACCTGTCCTAACCAAAAGCCTTATCAATTGTGGAGCCGACCGGAAAACCCGCCCCTTGCCATAGAGTATCCTCCTGGTGTGCTGTGCTTCCCCCCCACCCTCCCAACTAGAAGGTCCTCTCAAAATTGTGGCGCTGACCCGTGACAGGGAGCCACAACAGAGGGATGAAAGAGCCACATGCGGCTCCAGAGCTGCGGCTTGCTGACCCCTGGATTACATGAAATAAACAAGGATTAGTGTAAGATTTTTAAGACACCAAAGTAAATCTTTGCATATAATGGCAATTCAGACCATTCAGATGGACTAATCTGACAGTATTTCTCAGATGATCAAGATGGAGGAAGAACAACTAAATCTACCTGTGTTGAATATATAATCTTGTCAATTAAAGTGTTTAAAAACTGGGTTGGGTAGAGGAACCACACATACAGTGCCTAGTTGTTACTTGACAGAACTACTAGAAGTGCACAGGTAAACATAATCTTCCAGATGAGAAAATCTGCTTATTACACATTTTCTTTTAATAAGAACTCTCTTCATCCCTCTTATTAACCTCTTATTGTTTAGGTAAGATTATTAATATCCTTTGGTATAGTTTTCAAACAGCTGCTTGCAAAATAAAGTAATTAAGATAATTATTTGAATAAAGAACATTTAATTAAAGAAAACCTGATTCATGGTATGAAAAAAGAGGCTGATGGTCTTTTAACGCCTATTGTCAGGATTCCAGGTTGCTAATCCTATTCAGCACCATTTGTTCCTCATTCAGTGCTCATTTTTAACTTCTGTTACTCACTTCATGCTCACCTCTTTTGCATTGAGGAAATTCTAGGTATGCAGATGGAGCAGCTATGATTTGTAGGGTACTGGCACTTATGGCAGTAATAAGCTGATACTCTGCAAATTTTGAATTTTATTATACTGTAAATGTGTTTCTTTTTCATAGATGAACATTGTAAATAAATGCAGAGAATTCAGATCTGAACCTTAGCTCCAACTGGATTTGACTTTCGCAAGCCCGTAAAATTTGTAACCTATACCACTATAACCAGCCCTGAACTAAATGTACTGTGATTGGTTTTGATCAACTTTTAACTATCCAACCTCATTATACCACTTCAAGTAGGTAACAAACTTAGCTTTGTTTTGCTGACTTTATTACCAGGCAAGTTTGGTGTACTATGTTTGGCATTAAATTACTTATGTCTGCCCTATGACTTGGACATTTTTTGTCATTCTTCCTCTGCATGATGAAATGTGCTCAGAGGGTTCCAAATTCTTTGATTTAAGTAAATTTTCAGAAATCAAAAATCTTTTTCTACTGATAATTGTTTTGTAAATGTATAGATTTAAGTAGATTCAAACCTATATGTTTAATTCTTGAGATTTTTAAAATTCTAAAAATAGCTGGTTTTTCTTTTTTGCTTTCTCTTTCTTTTTTTATCAGCTGGATATAGTTAATTGTGCTCAAGTTTACCTTCTTGAATCATCGATGATTAACAACATGGTAATATCTGAGATAATAGTCATACCAGTAGAGCCTTTGTTGATTTAGTCATTCTTTTTCTCCTTATCATACTCTCTTCTTGTAAAGATTCTGATAAAGAAATAATCATTCTGCCAACAAAGAATTAAAAGAAACTACAAGGGTTCTTACCTTGGATTGACTAATTTGTTTTGAGCTCCAAAACAATTGGTATCAGCTTTACCGATAATCATCAGATATGATATGGACAACCAGTAAATCTTCCTTTTCCATATATCATCTTGTGCTGTCAATAAATTCTCTACAGCTACTCCTTCCAAAACTCAGGATGCCTTTATTTAAAATCCTCAAATGGGGATAATAGATAATTAGTAATCTTGGGATGTTATAGGAAAAATAAATTTAGTGGAACTAAATTACAATATAGTACAACTTTAATAAAATCTAATGTTTTTATAAC